CATTTTATGTTCTTACTTTTCAAATCCACTTAAAGATCCCAAACCTACAGTGAGCTCCATGTAGGCAACCTTCTTCTGCTTCTTCAGAGAGACAGAGATGACTTCCATTGACTTGTTTGCGATTAAACTACAAGTTCATTTGACTTAATGGGAGTCAAATTTGCCTCTTTTTTAGAGAGAAGCTTTGTTGTAAGGTATTTCTTTCTTATGACTGATAAAATGATTAATGAAATCAGCATCATGTTGGAAAAATAAAACTAGAACAGAAATCATCATGCTCATAATTCATCAGTCAAGACCCTCCCCCACTGCCATTTTAAACTGTATGCTTTATATTAAGTGGTTTTCCTTTCTTATCTGTAACACACCAGAAAATCTTCTCCTGAAAAGGCTCTTGCACTGTTGCCTAGTTACAGCATTGTTATGCTTGTTATGCATTTCACCTTCTGAATAATAATGAGGTGTATTTTAGGAGTTCCCTGTTAGTAATGTGAGCATTTATATACAGTGTGAGGCAGGAATATAAAATAATACCAGAAAATTGAACGTAGAAAAATATGCCTGGTTGCTTAGGAAAAGGTTTTGCCTTTTTTGAGATAAGAAAAAAACCCACCTATCCAGATGTGTATAAATCCTTATTTTTTAATCTGTACTAAGAAAGAAAGGAGAATTTGAACAAGAGTCAGGGTTCTCCATGATACTGGAGATGTGATATTCTTGCCTTGCCCTCTGAAGGAAGTACAGGCAGTCCTTGACTGTGACAACGTTTTGAGTTATAATGTTTCACACTTACAACGTTTATAAATTGTCACCCTGTTTCAACTTTATGATGTCAATTTCGACTTTACAACACTTGATTCGATGCCATGCCATGCCAGTGAACAAGTTCGCTGCATCGCTCATCTCCCTGGAGAACATCTGTCCAAACTTCCTTGGACACTTTCTTTAAGAAAGCAGACAAGACTCCAGAAAAACCTGCAGCCAAGACTCCTGAAAAGACTCCAGCCAAGAACCCTTCAAAAAGTCCAACCAAGAGCCCTTCAGAAAGTCCAGCAAAGTCACCTCAAAGAAGTCCTTCCAAATCAATATGATTGCTATTTATAATATAAATATATTAATGTAGCTATATTACTTATCTATAATTGATTGAGTACAAAATTCTGGGGTATTTTTGGTGAAAATAGGGTATCGGGCCTTGGTTCAGGAACCAATCCCCCATTTATAACATTGTTTCTTATGAGAAAATTGGTTCTGAGTTACAACGTTTCGACTTAAGATGCGGTTTTCAGGAACCAATTGTGTCCTAAGTCTGAGGACTGCCTGTATATATAAAACTAGATCCTTTCTGAATGCCACAGTTTTAATCTAGTTTCTGAGCACAATTTTATGGCCTGCATATATTAATTCAAACCAGGTGATGATAGTTGTCCCTTCTGGCCTAACTGTGAATATTTAAAAAATCAAGGAAGCTAAAATCACTAATTTTGCACTAACTGCTGCTTATATTTCTGTGCTCTGTACCATTGAACATGGCCTCTCACTGCTTCCTTTTCATACCTCCCATTTACAAATGAGTTGAGCATGAGGTTGTGCAACGCTACTTCAGGCAAAACAGGAGCCAGAACTCAAGCCTCTATTATGTCAGGCCCATGTCTTGTCTTTGTTATCTCTTGGACAGAACGTTTCAATCCCATGAATTTGTAACTACTTTTTTAAGTGCTGTGTATGCCTTCTTCACAGAGACGGAAAGAACCCAAGAACCTAATCTCCAGGATTCTGTTGCCTTATGGGTTCTACAACGTGACAGTGTACGTTAGTGTATTAATCTGGGGTAATACAATGTATTTAAGTGTCTCATATTTCCCATGAGGGGGGTCATCTACTTTATTAACAACTTATTAGCTGAAGTGGTAGAGGTCCATGCGGGACTCTGCTTGCCCACAAGTCACTCCTAAGGAAGTGTCTCTTCAGTTTGGACATTATGGAGTTTCTGTTTTACCATTTTTCTCTTTGAATTGTTGCTTATTTAATTTGCATGGTGAGAAAACTTCCTTAAAATCTGTTTTCATAGTTTAAAATTGTACTGTCTGACAGTTGTGTTGCACATATTGTCCAAGAGGCGAGGATTTTTTGTAATCTCTTTCATTGGTTTAACTGTATAATTGGAAGAGCTGTGGAGCAAGCTTTTGGGCACCAGGTACCCTTCCTCAGATCTGAAGGAGAAGCAGATTCAGGTTGAGCTAAATATCAGTGAAGAGACTCCATGCAAATGCACTCAGTCTGCTTGGATAAAAGATGTCACAAAGAAGCCTTGCCTCTTGGACATTTCCTGGACAATCATGGCTACAATGGTGTTTCAACCCTACTTTAAACATGTTGGTAATGACGACTTCCAGTAAAAGTGAAGGTTATAGGTATGGGAAAAACAAGTAAACAGAGTATGGCCTTTGAGATGTGTAGTGAATGGAAGTAAGAAGGTGCTGTTTTTCAGATATCCTTTTAGTGTTACTGCACTTGATATAGAAGATAAAAGAGTGCTCAGCCCACTGGCCAGATCTGACCCCCAGTGTTGGGTCATTTGGCCTGGGGGGCTTCCCATGGGTCCAAAAATGTGATGGCAGGGATGTGGTGCAATGGTGGCATCTCTCTGCTTCTGCCAAATTTCTGAACCCATGGAGAGCTCTGGACACCAGGTAATGTGGCCCTGAGCACTAGATCGGGGATGCAGACCAGTGCAGGCCCTGATTTTGGTGAATGGGGGTGTACCCATGGACCAGCCCCATGCCACTCACCTAGCCCACAGGGCCAGAAGGCTGGGCACCACTGTAGTAAAAGCACCATGTACATATAATGCTAATCTTAATGCTACGTGTTTGCATTATAAATACAGTGTTGTTGTGTCAACGGTGAAAATCTCTGACAACAAATTAAGCTCTGTGGGGTATGAGGTTAGCAGCCAAATAGTAATTTAGCTCTGTTATTTGCTTTTCTTACTGAAGTTACTAAATAGACTCCATGGTAGAGAAAGTACCACCACCTTTTGCAGAAATATCAGGAAAAGAAGTCTCAAGCTATAAAGATGCCTAAAACCAAATCTGACTGCCACTTCATGTTGGTTATGGGGAGACTCTTAAAAGAACAGATACTACCAATCTTACTTTGAAATAATTCTACTTAAATGCTGACAAGAATTAACACTGCAAAAATCCATGACTAGTATGGCGGGAAAATTAAGAAAATTAAAATAATTTTCTATTTATATCTCAACAGTAGATATTAAAGTTTGTGAAGCAGGGAATCTTAAAGATAGAAGACAACTTTTAGTAGAGCAGAAACAGAATAGAATTCAACTGATTTTATGACAAGACAGCTAGAACTATTGGAAAATAATATAAAATAGAAATATTAGATTTCCACCTGTGCTAGCAAGGAAGCAAGTGCAGATTCTTTTGTTTGTTTGTTTTTAATGAGGAATCTTCAATTTGTTTGTTTTACTTTGATATAGAAAAGTATTTTTTATTTGGTGAAAAAGAAATTCAGTTTCCATCAGAAATATGAGATCAACAATTAAGCTATAATTATGTTTGGCAGACAAGGTTCTTTGGGTGAATATGATATCTTTTATTAGGCCAACTTAAATAGTTGGAAAAAATTTTTTTAGCAAGGTTTCAGGTTTAAAAACCCTTTGCCAGGCGGAGGAAGCCTCTGCAGTTGTTGTGTGCTCTTCCTGGATGGAATGAATAGTTAAGAAGATTAGTCATCCAGGAAGAGCGCACACCAACTGCAGAGGCTTCCTCTGCCTGACAAAGGGTTTTTAAACCCGAAAGCTTGCTAAAAATTTTTTCCCAACTATTTAAGTTGGTCTAATAAAAGATAACAGATTCACCCGAAGAACCTTGTCTGCCTATGTCCTTAGACCAACACAGCTACAACCTACACCCCTATAATTATGTTTGTGCATTATAAAGCCAAGATAACTTTGATGATTATGTAAAACAGATTCTGCAATGTAAAAATGTGACTTTTTTCTTATACCAAAAATATAAAAAGAAAATGGATTTTAAAGGAAGGACTTTCAAGATGGAGTATGGGCATCTTTGGGACACTAAATTTATGCAGAATGCATGGAGGAAAATAGGTATTTAAAATTTTAAGTTCTGAACTTTCCTTTGGGCTGATGTTGGTAGCAGTACTTACAACAGAAGATATCCTACAGTTGTTTCTGTAGCAGCCTATACCATGCTACCAGAGAGTAAGTGAGTTTAATGTAGTAAATGTGTTGCTCAAAATCCCATGTAGGACACACGTGAGCTGTCTCCTTTTTTAAATAAATTGGGCTGCCATGTGTGATGTGTGGTGCTGGATTGAGGTCTGGGTCTCCTTTTTAGTTTAGTTTTCAGAATGTTGATATTTCCAGCAGTGTTCAAAGATATTATATGTCTCTAAATAAAGATACTGCTCCCTGTACGCTGAAAATCAGCTCCCTCCAGACAGCATCTGTAGCATCATTAAAATAACTCTTCTACACGTCTGCTTAAAAGTCAAGCCAAGCACACTGGGTTTCCTTGCAAACAGGTTCATACATAATGGTAAATAGCACTTACTGTTAATACCTCACAGAGTGCTGGTGCAATTTGCACTCTGACTGTATGTCCAGATATATGTCAAATTTGATATTAATTCTGCTTTTTATATGAATTTTTAGATGCCAGTATATAAATGCATGACTTATTGTTCTGTGTTTAGTTAGCTTGTTTTACCAAATAGCTCTTAATTATTGAAGTTTTGTGGATGTCTCCCTGATGTTACTGCACTGAGCTTACAACAGGAATTAGTCTGTTTTGCACATTCTCTAGTCAATGTCCTGGAAAGAGACGTATGTTGTTGTAAAATGTGCTCATGAAGATCATTTACAACACTGCAGGCTATTTTTGTCAGTTATATTCATTTAGATTTAAAACTTCATCATAAACAGTGTACCTGTTTTTCTTCCTTTATAGAAATCTGGTCAAGAAGTATTGTCCTAAACGTTCATCCAAAGAGGAAGAGCCCAGGTAAAAAAACCCTACATATATATGTATTTAAAGTTCCAAGTATAAATAGCAAACACTACTGTTCATTGTTTAATCTTTATTGTCCTGAGTGAAGCTTTTCCTGAATAAATATTTTGATAGATCAGTTTAAAAAAATAAAGTAATGGAGTCAGAATCTTTTCTACTTGAGTTTTTTTTTTTTTTGTTTTATTACAGTTTTGAAACATAATGTATATTTTGTGTTTTCCATTGTTGTTTTAAATTATAAGTGTTATTAAAGTGGTAATTTGTATTAGATGCTTTGCAAAGTAAACCTAATTTAGTCCAGAATTAGAAATGATTGTTTAGCACAATAATTACTTTGTTTAGTATATCAATGGGGAATGGGAATAGCCCCTAAGTTGTCGGTTACTATCTTTTTCCCCTTACAAAATGAATTAACTCTTTGAGAGTCCTGGTAACATGCAGAATGTAGCTCTGCAGACTTAGGTTCTGAGTGATTAATGAATGGTCATTTACTTTTGGCTAGTGGAATTCAAGTATGTTGCACTGGTAACTTGGTTGGCTCCAGAGCCAGAGCAGATTACAGTCCTGTTTTGTAGCGGCAGCAATCTGGATGCAGCCAACCTCATGATTACCAGTTTAAGAGCTGAGCTTGCTTTGCTGTCTGTACTCTTCCTGATTCTTTGATGACTGGCTGAAAGCACAGTTGTTATTTTTAAAAAATAAATAAGGGCCTAAGAATGAAAGAATGTTGAAAAGATGGGGAAGCGGGTAGGCTAGATTTCAGATTGCAGCCAGGGACATATGGTGCAGGAACCTTAAGGATTCCTCAGGAACTCAGTTTTATATGAACACTTTCAAAGACACTTGGACCGCAAGTGTCCGGATTTCCAACTCTCCATTGGAGCTCAGCACTTGTCAACCTCATGGACATGGCAGTGTTCCACAATTAAAAAGAGAAAATGCCTGTTTTAATACAGTGACTGTTTTTGTTTCTTTCCTCCCTTCCACACACACTTTCTACCCTTATTTTTGCCCCTCCTCCTTCCCTCTTTAGTGCCAGCCATAGTGGCACCTAAACCTGCAGCCAAGAGGTGGGCAGGCAAGCAGGCAGCTGTCTCCAGAGCTGATAGCAAGCTTATTCTGTAGACCATCCATCCGGATGCCTATCAGTGGCATGATTGGCATGTTCCACCCTCGAGACCAAGCACATCATCTCTGCAACAAGTTCAGCCTCTGAGCCTAGGGACCTAAATTCATTCCTAAACTCAGGCCTCTCAGTTGGCAGCTTAGGAGATGCCAGTATACCACAGGGTCTTCCAGGTAGTATTCTTATTCTTTTTTTTTCCACCCACAAAAAAACCTGTGTTCTTATAAAACTCTGTTAGAACATGGTGCGTCCTGAGCTCAATTTAGGTTTTCCCCACTCTGTATTTCCACTAGAATTCAACTAGTACTAAGTGTACACTTATTTGACAATACACCTGCTTTGAACACACAGTGTTCTCTTTTTGTAAGTAAAGAGATCTATAGTGATTGTAAAAAAAACCCATATTTCACCATATCTTTTTAATATGTTTTGTCAGGTTTACCACATGTCTAGCCTTTTTTAACATCCTTAACGAGTTAAATGACTATGCAGGACAGCGAGAAGTAGTTGCAGAAGAAATGGGACACAGAGTATATGGTGAACTAATGAGATACTCTCATGATCTAAAAACAGAAAGGAAAATGGTAATTCCTGTATTCTTTTCCAATAATTACACATAAAATGGCTATTTTTACTGAAATAATCTGTATATTTGTTTACTGGATCAGTATTTTTAAATGTGGCAGCTATAATTGTTCTTGATACTTTTTGTGTATGGCTTAATAATATATTAGATTACTCTCCTTGAAACGTATGTGTTGGCTATAGTTGTTCTGAATAAATGTACATAGTTGAAATGCTATTTAGAAGATTGTGCTTGCCAATAAATTTTAAGTATGAAGATAACTTTGGTCTGTAGTGTTGCTCTTGTATAATTGGTCATAGGTCCCAGACAGTATCCTGATAAAGTAGAAAACAATTGTCTCAGCATACAGAATAGAAACTTGCACGGAAATTGGCAATGTTAACACTACCTGTGATTTTATTTAAAAAGAAATCTTATTTGTGGTCTTCCAGCATCTTCAAGAGGGACGAAAAGCTCAGCAGTATCTCGACATGTGTTGGAAACAGATGGATAATGTGAGTTCTTCTGTCAACATTAATAATGTACAGTCTATAGATAACTGATATTATCATGCTTGTTTTATATTTTTCATCTGTTTGGGATTAGGGTTAAGTTTTATATGACTGAATGATCATACTAGATATATTGTTTAATAACCCAGGCAGAATATAATGTACTTGTAGTTCATTGCACAGCTAATCTCTGTGTAAGTATCTATTCTACATAGGAGTCAAACCCTTGGGATTTATGTAGCACAGGAAAGTAGATTTCAGATATATTAGAATTTTCTTGAAAAGAACACTCATTTCTATGCCCTGGAGCCATACACTGGCAATGGCTGGGAAAGAAGTGAATAAGAATTCAAACCATTAACTGTCGGTACCTTTCTCCTGACCTGCTCTCACCTGCAGCCGCATGTTTAACGATTATCTTGTTATGTAGGGCAGAATTTCACTAGCTGTGCTATTCCTTTTTAATACATTCTCATAATTTTTTTGCTGTTCCATCATAGTTTTAGTAGCTTATTTTAGATCTTGTTCTTGCTATTTATCCTAAAATTCACCCAGCTGTAAAGTGGGTTTATTTATGCATCATTTCAGAGGTTGATGCTTTAAGAATGTGTTGTTTTATCTTTGGTTATAAGCCATCATAAGCCTTTTTGGGGGTGGCAGCATATAAATCAAATGCATAAATAAATCTGTAATTAGCATTGGGCTTGATTTTGATGGCTTGTAACAGGAGGTCTAGTCAGGAATGATCAGATTATCAAGCTGCTGTTATATTTATTAGCCTTGCAGGCTGCATAAACTCTGTTAAACAGAGGAATGCAAGAGGTGACGTTCTCCAGGGGTGTTGATCAGTTATCTTTCTTTTAAAGTCCCTGATTAGAAGACGTTCATAACTTAATGATGCGTCTAAAGTTATATTGACCCAGGTTCTCTTCTGTGCCAGCGCTTATCATCATAATAGTGTTGGCAAGTTCATCATACACTTCTCCAGGAGTTGATATGCTCTCCAGCTACATTGAGATCAGCAATCTTTGGCTACAGTCAAGTGAGAAGACTTTGTCCACACCATGAAATCTTACTATGTCTGAACACTTTTGTCAGCAATTATGTTAGCTGATTGATGGTTTGATGTATACTGTCTTTAAGATCATGTCAGAGGGTATAACTCCAGTGAGTTAAGACAGGGCTGTCCAACTGGGGCCCACAGGCTGCATATGGCTTCTGAGGGGTTAAGTTACAGCCCCTGGGGTCTCACCTGGCTGCTACTCCCCCACTGCCCTGGGTTTGAATTGCACTCCCGACTCTTGTGGGGTGTCTGTGGTGGTGGCAGCCAGAAGCTGTAAGGAGCTGCTGCCATCTAAGCTGCTTAGAAAGGTGCAGGGCGGACTGGGGGCTGTCATTTTTTAAAGGGGGCTCACCCGTCCCCATCCCACCCCCCCCGTCCCTCCCCCCCAGCCCTTCCTTGTTTCAAAACATGCTCCCCCCATTCCTCTGGGTGCAACAGCAGCCAGAATCTCCAGGTTCCACCTCTCTCCTTTGGCTGCCTCTTCCTGCCCTCACCAGGGTGGGGTGATGCAGAGCAGCACAGAGAATTGAAGGTGAGTCCAGGCTGGGTGTAGGGAGGTTGTGCAGGATTGGGGCTGTGCATTGGGGGGAGTTGCACTTGTAGGGCAGCGGTGGGAGTGCTGCCTGCAAGGGCACACTTTGCAGCAGGAGGAGGGACTTGCACTTGTACAGTGCAGCAGTGAGGAGGGGGTGGTGCAGATGCAGTGCAGCGGTGTGTATGGAGGAGTTGTCCTCACTGAGCAGTTGGGGGTGAGGTGGGGTGTCTATCTGGTGCAGGGCCCAAAGGAGGAGGGGCACCTTGCCTGGTGTGGTCCCCACTGATGTGGCCTCTGGGGGCTTAGAAGTTGGACAGCCCTGAGAAGACAGTGTTGAATGTTGTTTGTTCTGGTCTATGCTGATTTCTAAAACATGCACATCAGCCTGTCAGCAAACACGATTGTTGACCCAAGTGTCTAAGCATAGTAAAATATCAAAATGTATATCTGGCCCATGTAACTGCCTCTGAAAGTCACTGTAATATGGATGTTCAATTTCAAATAGTTGGAAAAAAATAAATCTTCAACTATACAAATGTGTGTCCCTATAGGGGGTTTTCCTTCTACTTCCAATACTGGTCATCTCCGCCTAAGTTAAAACCTGGACATAACTCTCTTAACTAGGTGCAAGCTTGTATAATAAGGGGTTTTGATTACTTGTATAATAATTTTGTAGCCTATTTGGACTGGTTCTGTGCTGGAACTTTATTAAGGTACATGGAGTAAGTTCCAGGCTCTGGAGAGAGTGTGATTTGGCTATAGACCCAAGAAGACAGTAATAGTATAATTTTCAGAGATTGTTAAACTAGAGAAATGGAACTTTAAATGGAAGCTTAGATAACAGCCATTTGAAATAATTTGTAATAATGAGGTTTTTGTGATTTTTTTTTCAGAGCAAAAAGAAATTTGAGAGAGAGTGCAGAGAGGCAGAAAAGGCACAACAAAGCTATGAAAGACTGGACAATGACACTAATGCTACAAAGGCTGATGTTGAGAAGGTAAGAGCAATAACATTTCTTCCTCTCTCCTCCTTCTTCTTTATTAGAAAATGTTGATTCTTTTTATTGCCTTTTTTTCTTTTAGCAATATTGGACTGGCAGTATGTGTGTATGTGTGTGTTCTTCGCATGTTATACACCGTATCAAAATTACAGTACAATTTATCCTTTAAAACTTAGTGCATAGTGGAGTGAAGGGAAGTATTTCTTCATTTTTTAAGGTTAGTTTTGCATATCTTGCTGCTGGTAGGAGCAATGGCAAGGTTGCTCATATGTACACAGAAGCACTAGCTGGGGTGGTTCATTCTTATGAAGCTTACATTGTTATATGTTTGAGTTTCTCCTTCTGATCTGTCATTAGTTCAGGTGATTAAAGATGGAGTTAGTGCTAGTTGCTAACCATGTACTGACAGTACAAATTTGATGGTGCTTGCATCTCTTCCATTTGTTTTCTCAAACTGTAAGAGGGAAGCATTTAAAACTTTACAGCTATTGTGACTAATGTTCCTATGTGATTGCTAGGAAAGCTGGTTAAAGTAACACACTACATTTTTTTGGAAGAACACAAATGAGGCATGTTTTTACTGAAGTGACTTTTTCATTAGGCTAAGCAACAATTAAATCTGCGTACACACATGGCTGATGAAAACAAAAATGAATATGCTGCACAACTACAGAACTTCAATGGCGAACAACACAAACACTTCTACATTGTTATTCCTCAGATATACAAGGTACAGCAATATTTACCTAAATTGTTTTCTCTATGTTGAGGGAGAAATTGATTTCAAAACTTAAATTTTACCTCTATCAGTTTAATAGATCACTTACGTCACTTAAACTGCCCTAAGGTACCTATAATATGTCATTCAAGGTTTTTATTAGATAAGATTTGTTTTATAGCCATTTAGATTTAGAAATTTCACTAAAATATGCTGTTATATTTTCTGTTAAAATTGTTGTAAACTTTAGGCTTTCCTTTGTTTGTTTAAGCACTACTAGACATATGGCAGAAGAAGAAATAAGGGGTATGAGACTGCTGATTGAGCAGATGCTTAAAAGTCTCATTCTAGTAATGTCAGGCCCTTCCTTCTTTTGATGCTTTAGATTTACAGCTCCTTGTTTCCCAGTGAGAGCTATGTCCTATGGCTAATACCCTTGGGTATGACTTGGTATACCCCAGCTGTAACTACTGGCAGGATAGAATGCAGGGACCCCTGGCAGTAAAGGCTGACCTAGGGAACAGTAATCCACAAAGTCGCATGGAGTAAACAGGTGAAATAATAACTCTGCTTAAAAAGGATAAGGGGAGACTTACAGCAGTGTCCTTGAATCCAGGGTAACTGGTTTGTCTGTTTACTCTTACTTGCAGTAAGTGAAACCGAACTGCAGTAATTTACTACTACGGTGGGCAGATGAAACATATATGCATCTAATTCAATTTGCGTGCCCTCCCAAGAAATATATGTTCTTCTCTTAAAACTCTGTAAATTTTTGTCGGTCCGTGCAGACTTTGCAGCCAAAAAAGAATTCTCTGAAGCCAATTTATGTATCCCTCTTAAAAAAAAAAATAGAAATAATTATCCAAAACTTGAATATCTTGTAAAACTCATCAAGTAAAAGTTGAGCTAGGAATGGCATCAGTTATGAGCAATCAAATCTGTTAGAGGCATTTGGGAAAGAATGTCAAAGAATGCTGTGTGAATCTCTGAGAGGAAACAGAAGAAAATTGAAAACCTTGAACTCATTTAAACATGTAATAAACTGAGAACACTTGAGATTTTTCAGAAGCTGGGGGAGGGTCAGATTTAAAAGGATTATTTATTTGAAGATCTAGGTTTCACAGAGAGAAATTTTCCTTCCTTGTAAAAGACTTAAAAGAATTTGCCTGGTAAGGAATGTGCCAGTGGACCTGACAGGAGCAGACTGAGGAAGAAATTGCAGCCAAGTCCCAAGAGGAACATTTTGATCTTTTTTGTTGTTGTTTGTTTTTGATCATTCGTTTTTAGTTTGGATTGGAGACTTGCTTTATTACCTTTATTTCTCCAGGGTCAAAATCCGTTTTTATGGTGAGAAATGAATCATGTTTCTTGGAGTCTCTAAGCTAATACAATCCCAAAAACTTGCTTTTGCAGTATAAGCCTTCCTCTTTCGATTTTTTTCATTATTTCATTGGAAGTGTTGGGTAACATTGTAAGGTAATACTGGTTTTTTTCCTATGTGACTTAACTGGTATCTTAGATTAACTAATAGCAGGGGTTTTTTAAATAGATTTTTCTAGTTTGTTTTTAAGGGAGTGGTGTGAATGTCCATTCTCCATGACTGCCATTTTTTATGTATCTTTTACTAAGTCTGACTTTCTTTAAAAAAAAATTTTTTTTTCTCCAATTATCCAATTACATCAAGCTGTTAGTACAAAGTGGTAGAGCATTCAGGACTCTGTTATCAAATGGCTACTATAACTATACCTGTATATTAAACAGGATAAAATAGGAATATTGCTTAACAGACTCATGTTTATCTCGGTTTTTTTTGGTTTTTTTTGTAGCAACTACAAGAAATGGATGAACGAAGGACCATCAAGCTTAGTGAATGCTATAAAGGTTTTGCTGATTCTGAACGAAAAGTTATTCCCATAATTTCTAAATGTTTAGAAGGAATGATTCTTGCAGCAAAATCAGTTGATGAACGTAGAGTAAGTGTATTTAGCTATGTTTTAATCTACAGAAATTAATCAACATGAAAGACACAAGATGCATTGAATAGCAGGAAGTACACACTAAATCATTCAGATTTATATTTCCACTTTTTAAAAAATATTGTACCAAATCCTAAAGTTAACGTCTTCATAGGGGCTTTACACAAATAAGTGAGTTATAACTTTAGGATAGTCCAAAGGCTTCTTTCCCATTTTGGAGTCAGTTATATATGCAGTTCAGTTTTTATCTTACCACTTGATCAAAAACGCCATTTATGTTTTCTCGGGGCTCATCATTTTGGACATTTTTTGCCTTGGTTACCCTGACTTGTACTGGAAGGGGTCATGTTTTCACAGCTGTAGCATAAAATCATTTTAGGTAAAGAGAACTCAACGTTTATAGAAACTCATTGTTTCCTTTTGTTTGGTCACAGAGAAAAGAGTTGTCAACGGATTTATGTCTCTTGAATTTCTGCTTATACTGGTGCATGCCAATTTTACTCTGTTGAACTCTGCTCTTTTAGCTGATAACATTCTACTTGATCTTAAGTTCTCAATGTTGCAGAAGTTGAGAGATAGAAATAGTGTGAGTTCATTATTTGGCCAGCTTTAAAGCTGGTATAATCTGATGGGCTTTGTTCTTCAGATTCTAAATGCCAGATGCTGCATGCCTGTATTGCCAATCACCATTAACCATAATACATCAACAAACCTGGCTCAAACTCTCTGGTATATTTAAAAGTTCAATTTGCGCTTTCTCACTTTCCCATCAGTGTGCTTCAGCCATTACTTAGAGAGGGAGAGAGCCTCTATATACCATTCAGTTCTGGCCAGTTTTGCTGAGTCTGCCAGTTGTGTTGACAGAATTCATGATCTGAATGCTGCTGCTTTTAAATTGAGAGCAACTTATTTTCTTCGAGCTGCTGAAAAGCCTTTGGATGCAGATGGCATTTTGACCTCACAGGGCATGTCTACATGTGCAACTAATTCGAAGTAGGATTCCTTCACAGTAAAAATACTGTGCCGTAAGCCTACTGGGGACGACGACTACACGTGCTCCCTTTTGGGAGCAAATCTGCTCCCAGTGGGTGTATCCAGACAAGCATGGCCATGCAGTATGTGGCACCACAAACATGTCCGCCGCACTACATACTGCACACTGAGGCGTTCTCCATGCTGCAAGGGCACGCTGCCCATGTGTGCACTGCTCTGTGTTTTTTTTCCCCACGGGTTTTTTTTGACTCTCGGATATCCAGTTGTCTCCTGTACCCATACGCATCAGGAAGGGTCCTGATGTGCATGGGGCAGGAGAGCTGCTGTTACAGCAGTGTGCCCAGCAGGGATTTACCCAGAAGGGCTTCCCTGTGGCTGGCCGGGACCTGTCTTGGGGCCAGGGAGCAATCGCCCACCCCCAGCTGCCTGGCTGAACAGGAACAAATTTGTCCTCAGTCCGCCTTCTACACATGCATTACTGTGCAGTAACTACTCTGTGGTTAATTTGCTACCTGCATTTGCTGCAGAGTAGACCAGTTTGCACAGTCTGCACAGTAAATTGGTCTACTGCAGAGGTTTTCTATCTTTTTTTAAGGAGTGTACCCCCCTTCCAAATGTCCTGCGTACCCCCAGTTTGACAACCCCTGGTCTACTGCACAGTACAGCCTTTCTTGTAAACACATCCACTAAATTTAAAAGAATGTTAAAATTGCAAAGGCAAATACTCAGAAGTTAGAAAGTGACAATTAAGATTGCCTGTATGATCTTAATTTTGCCCCTGTGAATAATATATATAATGACTTAATCTTTATGATTATGCATATGTAATTTTTCAGTATGTGTCTGTAAATTAATTGTGTGTGTGATTTGGTCCGCATTTATCTGAAATGTGTAATAAGTGATTACACAAAATTATACTTAAGATACTCAATTATAAGCTTGATCCCACAGACTTTGAAATCAATGGGAGGAGTTTTGTCATTGGATTTAAGAGAAACAAAATGGGCCTTAAGATACTAAAATGTACAGTGTGTTTGTAAAGGGCATTATAAATATATTAAGAATTCATTTTTCACGTGTAATGAGACATTTTTATAAAGTGTTTTATTTGAAACCTTGCTAATTTATCTGAAATTGGATGTACATTCATACAGACGCATTTCACATCTTTTACTCTAGATACTGTATATAGAATATTTGGTTTATCTTATAATATTAATACATAAAACTCTTTTCAGCTACAATAGAGCATTATTATTTTACAGATTGAGAATTTGATTCAGAGGAGTGAAAAGGGGGAAGGAATGTCAGCAAGACTCTAATTTTGAGTTCCGTTTTCTAGTCCTGCAGTTAAACCCACTGATTCTTAATTTGTCTCATTCATTTCGACAGTACTACAAGAACTATCAGGAACAGTGTGACTGTAAACATAATTATTCCCCTAATTTGCTTGCAAGAGGATTGATTTTAGGAATCATTATTTATGCAGTCCATGTTACCTCTGTTGTATTTTTTTTACTTAGAGCATAGCCAGTATATAAAACAATGTATAGCTAATTAAAAAGCAAAACAAAACCTTGCAATGTCTTTTGTATTTAGGACTCTCAAATAGTGATCGACTGCTTCAAGTCTGGTTTTGAACCTCCTGGAGACTTCCCATTTGAAGATTACAGTCAGAATATTTACAGGACCATCTCTGATGGTACCATCAGCACACCAAAGCAGGAAGGAATGAAGATTGATTCAAAAACCACTGTGGGCAAGGCCAAGGGCAAGCTGTGGCTTTTTGGAAAGAAACCAAAGGTAACATTTATGAAATTACTAATTCCAAATAAAAACCTGTTTAGGATTTGGAGTTTGTGGTGGCAGAAATTACTTTTTTAAAATCAGGTTTGTGCCCTTTACTATTTTTAAGTCTTTTTAGAGAGACCTGACTGTTTCAGATTGGCATAGAGTTCTGATCTCTCTGATCCTAGAAAAACCAAGAATGGCAAGTCTTGTCGTCTTTATTTTTGCTGATATTGTTTCTGAAGGATGTACAAAATTGGACTAGAAATATTTAATCAGAGACCTTTTCCTCCAGCTGTTTACATTTAGGGCTTCTTAACACCTATTTAATATCCTACTGAGTTTTAAGTGGTCTAAATAAAAGTCACTTTCCCTCTCTTCCTTAGTAGCTATAATGATTTCCTGGCATTCCAAAAAACATAGCAGAGAAGCTATTAATTGTTTATGTGAAAGCAAGCAGAAAAAAGATGCATTTTTTTTCTTTGCTGCAGTGAACAAATTAACCTTCAGGTGTACTTTGTACTGTAAGAAAGGCACAAACCCATTTTTCCCGTTTTATGCCACCATCATGAGTATGTGTAGGGGTACCACATGGATTCTACTGTACGTGTTGCTAGTTTTGAATGTTTGTGATTATGTTTTCATAAAAACACTTTGTTTGAAAACATTAAATACTGTATAACATCTGATTGGTAAAAATGTTGATTTGTCTGAGTTTGGTAGGGCAGATGCTTTCAAGAAAAAATGAATGAATGAATAGCTCTATAGAGAGCATTGGGAAAAGGTATTAGAATACAGATGTTGCTATTTTTCTTACTATTTTGCTGTTAGTCTTAATTGAGGCTTTCTGTGTAAAATGCCTTCCTCACCCACCAGCAGGGGTCACTAATAGCTGTTGCCTATCAAAAGGAATAATTAAATTCATGGACATTTATTTGAGCTCTTGATTTGTCCCATATTAGAACATATCCATACATCATTTAAAATGTTTTTTTACAAATTTGAATGAGTTTATTCCAGTGTTCCCAGCCAGTAGCAATGTAATGAAAAAGAATTTTTTATTATGGTAAGAGAACTACCCTCGGGACCTCTTACAAGTTGGGGCTGATGTTTTTACATATAATGCTCTAAACAGCAGACAGGCCTTCTCTAGGGAGAGAGAGGCAATATGGTATAACGTCATAAATTCGGATATCAAACAGCCAGAATTATCAAAAATCCGGCACTTTTTAAAACTACACTCCAACGGGGAGTAGCAGCAGCTGGTCCCAGACCAGCGGAGGAGGAGCTTGCACACAGCAGCTGCTGCTGCCATCCACCACCCCACGCTGCTGGTCTGTGTGTAGCCGCTGCTCCCATGTCAGAAATTCACATTTCTGGCAGGTACTCGGTCCTGAGCATGCTGGATTCATGAGGTTATACTGTATCTGATTCTTGTATCCTCTTCACAGTACATTTTTCCAGTGTCATTGTATATTTATCAAACAAAACCTACATTATTTTTCATCTACTATGAGATGTGTGAAACGGGCCATATTCGATTTGAATTTGGGCTGAATTGGGGGACAATGATTCGATTTGTTGATTCAGATCACTGTCCTGATTCAATTCGGCTGAATCCAAATCTGAAGATTCGATGCTGATTCGGAAAATCAGCGATTAGGTCATAGACACAGCTTTAAATGTTTTTTTTACATACCTCGAGGTACCAGGCGTGGCTCATGAACGCTGCAATGTTGGGGCAGATGGAGCATCCCACGGGAGCGTTTTGGGGGGGGGGTTGGGCCCTGTGTGCTTGGCGGTGGCCCCGGAAAAGGACTGGAAGTACTTCTGGACCACTTCCGGTTCCGCCACTGAGCGTGCGGGGGATGACACTCCCCCCCCCCCACACACACACACGCGCGCCTCTCCAGCTCAGCAGTCGGCTGCGGGGGACCCCAGGTGCTCTCCCCCCCCAACCCAGGAGGCACCAGTTGTCGGGGTGGGGGGGGGGTCCCCTGCGCACTCTGCAGTGGACCCGGAAGTGCTTCTGGTCCACTTCTGGGTCTGCCGCTGAGCATGCTGGGGACCCCCTCGTGCTTCCATCTGACGCTCCATCCACCCCAGCATCTCAGCATTCACAAGCCACCTGGTACCTTGAGGTATGCAGAAGAAACATTTAAAGCTGTGTCTATGTCCGAATCATTGAATCTTTCTGAATCGATTCAGGAGGGTTTTGATTTGATTTGGAGAGATTAAAGGGTCTCCTGATTTGATTTGGATTCAGAGATTCGGCCACCGAATCAGGCCAAATCTCTGCCAAGTCGAATCAGTGATAGAAGCTTTGTACAGCCTTAATAATTATTAACTATATTACAACATACTCTCTACGCACTTGGCTAAAGAGCTAGGTGCAAAATTCGGATTGAAACTTACAGGGACACTGTCAGTTTGAAAATCACACTTATGAAAATTTGGGGCCAGGCTCTCAATGAAGCCCTTTAAAGGTGTTACGGGTCTGGCCCTTTGTATCTGCTTTAGTTACAAGAAACACCTAAAAAGACTATGGTTGCAAGAAATTAGCCAGAAATGTTGTTTCCATTCCCCCCCAGTTTGTTTACTTTGCACATATGACAGCACTTTGGCATAGTCAGATTCATGATTTCCTATGTAGAGTCAGGCTATGATTCTGCAAAGACTAAGAGGGGAGCAGTGCCATTGCACAGCGGGACAACTCCGATGTGTAAAGTTACTCTTGTATAATGCCTAAGTCACTGTTTCTCATATTACAGAAAACAACAAATGAGACAAGGGAGTATAAAAATCTCTTGTAAAGGATTCTTTAAATCGGAACACTAGTAAAACGATATTATAATAAAAGCAGTATACTTTTTAAATCAGAAAAAAATTTGGATTGACAAATTGTAACTGGATATTAAAGGTAGTCTTTATGACTTGTTGTAGCCGTGATTATGGTCGATCTTCACTTGTATTTCAAGATACACTTTTGGCCTATTTTTTAAAAGAAATTCAAAAGAAACAGGCAGTCTTGAAAGGGGGAGAATAATAGAGGATGGAGAAAAGGTATAACAGATAAGGGAGGAGCAGCTTGAGAGAGAAGCCAGGGAAGAGGAGACGAAACGAAAGGTAAACATAAACAAAACAACCCCCCAAACAAAAAATGAAATAAAAAAGAAAATGAGTAGTTGTAATATACACCTACCTGCATCTATGGCAGTGGTTCCTCACAACTGAGCTACAAACAAAAGGATGTTGCAAACTGGCTTGTTCAGGTGCATCACAATGGCTATGTACAGATGTTCGGTTTCTACTAGGAAAATCACCAGCTGCTCCCCCCTGGCTTCTCATACCTGGAGTCTCCGATGTAAGAAGTTTTGCCGACCTGTTTCCTCTGCTTGGCTGCTAGACATTGGAAACTGAGTGTCAGGGAGCAGTGCAGCCCCTGCCTGCTTCTCAAACCCCAGTTCTCAGTGTGAGATGCAAGCAGAGGGCTTTGTCCCACTGCTCCCCGTGCTCCGCTCCCGAGCACTGGCTTCCCCTTCCCCCCACCCTTCCCCACTTCCCCTTAACACTCAGCTGAGCAATGTGGGGTGGGGAAACCAGGCTGGGGAAAACCAGCCTGAGCCCAGTTCCCAGCTGCAATGGGTTTTAAATCTCTGTCCAGCTGAGTGGCAGGAGGGCAAGAGGGGAAACTGGCCAGTGGGGAAGAAGGAGGGGAAGGGGCAAGGGGAAGTTGACTTAGGAAGGGAAGTGAGCAGTAAGGCACAGTCCCTAGTTCCTTTCCCAAGCCAGGGAAGCCTGGCTTCAGTATGGGGCTGTGCCTTGCTACTCCCTTCCCCTCTCAGACTGGTGCCCCTTCCCCAAGTTGGGCAGTGCCCTGCTTGGTGTAGGGGCAGGGGGCTTTGCCTCAGTGCTCCCAAGCAGACTGGAAGAGGCTGTTCTCCTACCCTGTTCCCCAGAGACCAGTCTGGGGTAGGCATGTAGAGTCTTTTCCTGCTGTTCCACTCCCCCATGGGACTGAGGAGTGGCACTCGCATTGTCATCTCCAGATTTGAATCACCCCAGTCTCAGGAAGGTGTGGAGAGCAGGAGAGAGGGGCTGTCTGCAGCCTGAACACCTCTACTACTCCCTCTTCTGGCAGGATTTCTACTGGTGCAAATTTCTGAGAAATTTCCACTGGTAGAAATGAACTTCTGTACACAACCAATATCAGTTATAAATGTAGCCTATC